ACACACACACACACACACACACACAACTGTTATTATACTGTGTAACAAGTCTGCAACTCACGGCTTTGGGGCCACATGTGGGTCTTTGGTTGCTCTCTTTGAGACTTTGACCAAAACTAACATGAAACAGTTTTTTAGGTGTTTATTCCCACAAGAGAAAAAAACTAGTTGTAGCAATTTTCCTGTCATTTTCTTAAAAAATGTGAATGATGTAAATAAACTAAATAAATAATATCAACAACAGGCCCTTGTTTGGCCGTTAGCCTAGCCTGGACAAAGGCTTTTGTTTTCTACTTGCTCTGTTCTCTAAAGTCTAAACTAATAAGGTACAAATTTCTGATAACTTTTTGGCTGACCATCACTTCAAAGATGACTATGCTTTAGCTTAAGTCAGATACTTACATTTATTTCTCATTCTTTTAGTCTTCATGATGATGGGTTAAAGTTAGAACATAATCGATAAATCGAGAGCTCTGCATTTTGCACAGGCTCATTTGGCAATCTACCTTCTTATAGCCAAAGCTCAAACTTGGAGCTATTCCTTTTTCCAGCTACATTAAATCAGAAAGGGTTACAAAGCAAAGCCATCTGCAGGTTTTTCTATCGCCTCATTTTAAACGGTGCTGTCAAGGTGTTCCTGGGAGACTGATGGATTCTTACTGATATAGACTTTATTTTGACCGCTTTAGCTGGAAGCCTCCCAAAGAAAATAGTGGCAAATATGCAAAGTGTGTGCACAGATAGGTTTCCATCTGACTCCTTAAACAGACAATAGCTACCAGACTGAATGGGGAAATGTGGAAAAGGATAGTTCTGTGCTCCACCATGCCAGATTCAATATGCCTGGGGACAGGAATGATTTTCACAACCTGCCATCTGCAACCTAGTTAGTGGATCACTGCTGAAAGGTGCTCAAGTAAAGTAGGAGACGAAATTGCTGAGATACATTTTCATTCGAATCGCTCAGCAGAGCTAAAATTGGAGAGTTGTCTTGTTGAGAGGACAGTTCTGAAGGTGCAACAGTGACAAGAAAAGGAATAATCAGCATAAAGAATCCCTTTGTTTTATAAATGGAGATGTTTTACTAAATGCTCAGTGTGGCCAGATGTTGGGAGGAAGAGGCCACAAGTTCAAATATAAGCCATCTTGTAGCAAGATGTGACCCACAGCGGAGAGGATGAGCAGAGGGTGGGGACTGGCAGAGAGCATTTATAAGGGCTAAATGACAACACAATAAAAAAGCAACAGGGTGAAGTGAAAGGAAGCGAGACAGATGGAGAGAAAAAAGCCACACAGACCCACAGAAAACAAAAAGTTGTTTTCCTTCTGCTCGGTTTCAAAGCTGAGTGCCACCCATGGAGAGGAAAGCTGGGTGACTCACACTGCCTCCACTGAGACTGGTCCGACTCAGAAGGACTGTACAGCAGGAGGCCAATTCACAAAACAGTATGTTTGCTATGTTCCCGCACTTTTTTTTTTGTCCTTGTATATATTTTTCTCGTTCTTAAAGTGGAGGCCTCCAACAGCGCTGCAGGGTTTGATGTCAACAGAGCTCACAGTATGTGTGACGTTTTTATTTCAATACAACTTTGTAAAACAGTCATTAAATGTGTGACTTTCAGCTTCCGTGGGCTAAGTGTCCAGGGTGAGGAGGCTTGTGGGGTGGGGTGGGGGGGGGGTTCAAATTTGCAGTGCATAGAAAACGACAAAAGGGTGGAAAACATTTTGATCACTGGATTGTGGACCACATGAGTGAGGGGTTGAGATGCTCTATAAAGACCAGGCTCAACTTGTTTTGTAGAGCAGGTGTGGGAAGCATTTGGCCACCTGGTCTAACCTATGGACACATCGAAGACAGTTTTACAAACAGTGGGGGCAGGAAATATAATTGTGCGTGCGCGCGCGCACACACACACACACACATTTGCACAGCTGTCCATCTGGGGACATTCCATTGACTTCCATTACATTTCTACAGCCTAACCCTGACCACAAACCCTAAGGCTAACCTCACAGGTACCTGACCCTAAAACTAACCTAAACTCAATTCACACCTTGGTCCTAAAGAGAACCCTCAATGCACCAATGGCATTTAAACCAAATAGGGACTCGACTTTTGTCCCCAAATGAACCATTTGTCCCCAAATGTAGGCATGTTGTCTCAAAATTGCCCCCTAATGTCACCAGAAACAAAGCCCCCCCACAACACACACACATCCTGATGCATCTCAGTAATACAGGTAAAAACAAAAACAAGATGCAAAAAAAAGATAATAAATAAATAAAAAATCAAAGAGGACTCCAGTCAACCACCAGGTGAAAAATAAGAGCCTAAACCCAGACCAGTGTTCATTCCATGTGTTGTGGGAGTTTCATATAAACTGAGATGTATAGTCTCTAAACATGATGTCCCAGTGGCTTTCAAACCCTAAAACACATGACACAGACTCGTCACCCCAAAGAGCTCACAGAGTAATGTTGTATATGCTATTGTCAGGAGGACATTGGGGAAACAAAGCAGACACTGTTCAATAGAATGAGCCAACACAGAAGAGCTACATCATCAGGCCAGGATTCTACAGTTTACACTCATCTACAGGCCAGTGGTAACTTTCAGGAATGAAGATGTTCTCATTCTTGGCAGAGAATGAGGTGAGTTGGTTTGAGAGAGGAAGCCATTTTTTAAAGAAAACCCATCCACCATTAAACAGAGGTGGAGGCCTTTGGCTCCAGTTGTCTCCCTCTTACAATGTTGTTATTGCCAAGTATGACTCAGCCCCCTGTGAGCAATAACAGTAGTCAGGTGATGGGGCACACGATCCTCTATGAAGAATCACAATATTCAGGGCACTAACATCTACTGTACTGGCTGTTCTCTTTTGCATGTGACCAAACAACTGGAAATTAATTGGACACAGCTGCGACTCTCGTCGTTTTTAGGCAACTTTGACCTAATTTCAATATTTTACAATGTTGTTATTTATGCATGTTTAAATGTAATTGCTGAAAATGATATGCAGGATTTTAGTCTGCACTTGTCACATTATGTCTGTATTCATTGAATCATGTTGGGGGGTGCGGGGTTGAACTGACATGAAACTGTGACGGTTTGTATTTTGAGCTCTGAGTAAACACCGAACAACGTCAAAGTTTTAACAAGTTTATTGTTAGAAATTTTGGCTGGAAGGTTGGGACCGGACTCCGGGGTCATCAG